TCCTATATTCAGGTGATTATACTCTAATGAAAACATACCTATGAATATTATATTCCATTTCTGCCAATAGATCCTTCTGAGTGTTACACAAAGGACCTTTAAAGAAACAGCTGAGTAGAAACAGCAGTTATGTCTGCAGCAAACAATATTTCAAAATGTAGCTTTATGTCACTAGCAGTTCCCTCCGTTATTAAACTGACAGACCTCCGTGTTGCTGCTCAGAAATACCTGCACATGAAATCTGACAGGTCTAACAATCTTTAAATTGCTGATAAGAATGGAGTGATCTTTAACACGTAAAATTTGACAAAGAAACCTTTCATAAGCGAGTCTGCTGCTTAAATTAGTACCTTTATTTCTTGCAACAAGTCGTCGCTCGCCGTCGTAGCTGTGAGTGAATGAAGAGCAGCACTTAACCAGCCACACATCAGAAACACATATGGGAAGGCATACGGAGGCTTTTCCACACACCGGTATTAAAAATGAGCCGGGGTTAGGTAGTTAGCGCAGGTTCTCCCGCAGCAGGTGAAAGGAGGAAGATGACGATGAGGTTGACTGGTTGATTTCATGTTTCGAGAGGGAAGAACTGTCTTATGTTACAAAACTGCGTCTGTGCGCAAAAACACACGAAACAAACACCAAAATGTCCGTTTATCAGTGATAGAATCCCTACAGTGTGTGTACCTCTTTAGCTTGGTGTGTGTTGTGTTTGGACGTGTGTGTGTGTGTGTGTGTGTGTGTGTCTGCGAGTGTGTATGTTCGCACCATCACATCCACAGCACTACACACACTCCTTGCAGCCACATTCCACAGGCTTCTCCACGTCCTGTGTAAACGAGGTCCCGTCGTCGCATTCGAAGGTGAGCCGCCGGCGTCGGACCCTCAGGGGGGCGCAGCAGGAAGCGGTGGTGGTGCCCGGCTCGGTTCCCGCCTGGCACCGGCCCCGACATTCGACCCAGGAGAACGGCTTGGACGTCTGGCAGAGGACGGTGCCGCGCTGCAGCCGGTGGTAATCTCTCACCGGCTCACCTCGACATGGAGTCTCTGCGGGCGGGGACACACAGGGAGGGTTGAGAGACAACCAGGACTCAGCAGTTAAAGGGTCGATTCACCCAAAATACAAGAAACATATTTTACAAGACAATTGGAACAATTGGATTAAAAAAAGCCCAAGAAAGCAAGCAGTTCCCCTGTCTATAGACACTGATGTCTAGTAATAAGTGAGAAAATGTGTCTTTATATGTGATTTTACTGAGCTGACCTTGAATAAAAATCTTTTTCAATATGAGTTTATCACAAAGCTGCAATCAGCCACTGTTATGCACTTATAGCCGCTCTTGAGTTTTCACCAGCCAGCTTTGATTTTGCACAAAATATCTTCATAGACTGAATTCAAGTAGTGCTAGTAAATTGATTGGTTGATCAGCATAAAATTTAATGATTGGGATAAAAGTCATTTACAGTTTCACAGAACCTATCTGAGAGGTCTGACACTTAGTGACTGATGGTTTTAGGAATATTTTGTATCTCAGTATTATGTTAACAATAATACATTCTATCCAAGCAAACCATTTCTTTTAGTTTTCTTCACAGAATTAGACGAAGTGCCCAGATACAGTGCTACAGTGTATATATTTTTTATTTTCTTAAACCCTTTAATATCAAGAAGGCCTTGCAACCTCTCGTGAAGCTCTGGCGACCCCTAGTGGGGGGAAGCAAATGTCGATCTAGAGTGATATAAAAGTCACATTGCAATAAGTCTGAGTGACCAGAGTCACATATGAGAAAATAAATCTGATTTGGGCCACTTCAGCCTGCAGTGTGAACGTAGCCATAAAATAATATTTCTTTGTCATTATTCTGAGTCTGAGATTGAAAGCTGATCCAGATCCCCTGTCCTCACCTATATCACAGCTCTCTCCGGTGTATCCCTGCTCACAGACGCAGTGCTCTCCGTCCTCGGTCTCCTCACACTGGCCGTGCAAACACTGCAGACCCTGACACAAACCTGCCGGCTCCCCCTGCAGGTTACACAGCGCACCGCGATATCCCTCCTCGCAGTCGCAGCGGTACGTCTGCGCATCCAGCGCCATGCACACGCCCTTCACACACCTGGAAACAGAGTGAACGCAGTGAGGAAGATGAGGAGAAGGGACTCATTAGAAGCATTAAATAGAATGTATCTACTCGTCACATTAACACGTTAGTATAAAGAGGAACAATGTTTGGATAGTAGACACATTTCAAAGTAAAGTGCACCATTTATACAAAGTCGGAAATGTTTCTAACAGCCAGAACAAACCACACTCACTTGCTGCCTTCGCACGGGTTGACACCAGTTGCCGTGGTGACAACATCCGCTCCAGTAAGGCCTCCTGTAATTGGCTGGTCACAGTGTTGTCCGGTCCAACCTGACTGGCAGTGACACTGGGGACCCTGTGATAGACAAAATGTTTACTACTTCATGTTCTGTGAAAAGAATAATCACAATAAATGTTTATACCTGAATGATGCAAAAACATACTGTTAACATTAACATTGACCTTCTGACTGTCTGCTTTATCCTGTTTCCCTCAAAGTTTCCCTGCTTTAGCAACAGCAAACCAAGAGCATAAAGAGCTCTTACAAAAATGTAAATGACAAACATATTTGCTGTGACAAGTGTTCTTCACCTCAGAAACATTTCTAATACATTATAAAGAGCTTGCCTATAGAAACATTCATGCAAACAGGATATTAAGAAAAGAACAGATTTTGATGTTCAAGGACAACAAAAACAAGAACTAAATAATGTCAAAATGAGACTGTGATGGAAAAAATTAAATATAAAAAGTGTTTTAAGGCTACAGTGAATTAATTGGTTATTTTTAAGATTTTATAAATATATATATATATGTTTTTCATTTATTGCATTATAATTCATTTAAACATTTAAAACCTGTAATACAAAAAAACTGTTGTCTTAATGTAAAAAACCAACTGGGGAAGTTTAATGATTTTATCTATTAGTTACCATTACAAGCTATTGCAAAATATATGAAATTTAACAGTACTTTAAAGGCTGTTTCTCAAAATGAGCTTTTTTTTCATATTCTGAGGCAGAAATCTCCACTTCAGTAGCACTGTTATCTAATATAGCATGTTTTTAATTATATAACGCCTCATTTGCATATTTAAACATAACATTTCACAAAACTTGCAATACAAAAAAATAACTGTCTTGATGTAAAAAACCGACTGTGGAAGTTTCATGGTGATAGCTATACCTATTCACATGTATGGTCTCTCCTTAAATTGACTTACATACATATGATTGGTGTGTTTGTATGTCTTTTGACTGCTGACATTGCTCTGTTTCCGTTAAGCTGACTGTGTTCTACCTGTGCAGCGTTGGGCTGGCAGATGCCGTGCAGACAGTAGAGCTTGCGGCAGGCCTGACAGCCCGGCACCACCCCCGGCTTCATGTGGCTGCGGGTGAAGTCCTGCAGCTCGTGGTTGATGTATAGATTCCTGATGCAGCCGTGGAAACTGGACATGTTGATGGTCTGAGAGGAGAGACCCAGAGAGGTGGGCATCACCTCCTCAGGCATACCTGGAGAGACAGACGTTACACAGAAATCAATCTGGTGACACATGCTAGATAATAGAAAGGTTTTTGTCTGAGTTAGGTGTGTTGACCCCGCCGCTGCCTCTCTGCTCTTACCTCCTACGTACAGAGGCGTCTCCGTTGTCATCGGCTGGCTCCGGCCCTGACTGCCCAGAGTCGTCGGCTCTCCTCCATCCACAGACAGGTTCACCATCCGGTTAAAGGTCACCAGCTCTACTGTGTGAAACTGCCCGTCGTTCACCGTCTCAGTGCTGTATGTAGAGGATGAAACATTTCATATTAAATTCACACTGTAGGAACGAAGAGTGACAGATGAGTATTGTGGATACTTTGTCGATTCGTGGACATATTTTGGTTGTTTATGCGATTATTCACCAGGCAAAGGTCAGTGGCAAAGCTCTACCAGTGACTGTTTCTCACCATGCAGTTGTTTCAGTGTTAATGGGGCTTTAAACAGCTGATCCCTTGAGTTCTTTTAGTGTCAATTTTTCCATTGTTTTCTCACTACCTATATCTTTCTCTGTTCTCCTCATCTTTTCTCTTTTCAGATGATTTAGCATGCTTGCAATCTTCTTTTCTCTGGAGCTGCTTGTCACACAAATAGCCTCAGAGTGTGTGTGTGTGTGT